TTCAACAGCAAAGTTTTCACAGAATTTTACCCAATATATAATGACCCTTCCAGAGTTCGAAAACCTTACAAAAATGGGGGGGATTTGACCGGAATAGGAAACGACACTTAACGGTTCAAAAATAATCAAACGACACAACCACGTCGACAAGGTTCAAAACAATAAAACGAGACTCCGAACTATCATATACCAATCGAATAGACACAGCAACACATTCCGAACTGAATTACACAATAAACGAGAGTTCCGAAAATCCACGACAATAACACGAAACATAATCCGAACAAAACAATATACGAGCTAATAAAATCAAAAGAAAATTGATTCAATTAGTACGAATATAACCCAACGAGCAGACATGAGTACGATTGAATCGAAAAGGTTCACCGAATACCTTTCTTCAGGAAATCTGGTTGGGAACGGACGGACGACGGGCACGAACGGAATGAATTGTCCAACACCTTTCTCGAGAATTAAACTAGAAGGAAGGGCTGGGCTCAGGGGCTCTCGAAGATGGCTCGGTTTGCGGCTGTGTGCGCTCGAACTCGATAGAGGAGGTTCACTGGTGCGGCCGATAAAGGGGCTCGACAGGGGTCGATGCCGGGATGAGGACTTTCAATCCGCGAACAGAGGAAGAAGGGTGACGGTGGGTCGCTACTGGCGATCGGTAGGCGGACGACGGCGGTTGTTCACGAGAACAGAGGCACGCGACGGCAACGGTGGAGCTGCGCGGAGGGGGCCTCACCAGAACTTATGGGGGGGGGGGGATTTGCTGCTGCAGATTTCGAAAAGGGGAAATTCAACTTATACTAGAGCGAGAGGTTGAGATGACCGAAATATAATGGATGAGAAGGAGGTTGGCGAGTGAAAAGGGGAGAACGTGCAAGGATTTTACCAAAGAATCGAAACCAGAAATTGAACTCAAGCGGATGAGAGGACTTGGTCGCAGCGAGAGAGAGAGAGAGAGAAGGAACTTGCAGTTTCCAATTCTTGTTGGGCCAACAATTTACACAATGTTTTGGGCCTCAACTTAAAATTTTGGGTTGGAATTATAATGGCATAAAGGCCTAAGAATATAATTCAAATTGGGCCGGAACCAATTTAATCGGGCTTGAAGAAATACAACACGATAACAAGAATTTCCGATCAATTTGATTAGACGACGATGGACAAATAAAAATAAACCGGACAATATGTAAAACACATAATATTTTAAAATAATAATATTAATAATAAAAATATGCATTTAGACAAATAATTACAATTTGGCAAATAATAATATTTAGACAATTAATATTAATAATAGCAATATTACTAATAACAAATAAATAATAGCAATTAGACAGTTAATAACAATTATAATAATGACAACTGTAATGATAATACTAATAATAAAGACAATTTAATAATAGCAATAATCAATAATTACTCTCAAATAATCCACAATAAAACGGGGTATTACAGCCGCCGACGGCGTTAGGCCGTCTCTCGACCGACTTGACTTTTCTCTCGGCAAATCACACATGACTGAATATAAAACATACTTTACTGAACAAATGGACATGAAATACTCAAAGGACTGAACTTGATATACTCATTAAACACGAGCGGCCGGTGGCACGCGCTACATGCGCGACCACTTCCCTCGGCCCAACGACACTTAAACATGAAAGTTCTTTCGAACAACACTGAACAACTGATCATAAAATATCATAAGGAAGCTGACTACATGCTTAATACTCGAGAGATATTAACTTAAAACATGAGCTCATCACAACGCACTCGTACGGCCGAAAAGCCTAAGACCGTACCATGAACATCAATAATTCTGAATCATCATAACCATAATATGAGTAATTTAAGGTAAACGAAGTTACCTCTCGGAACTCTCGGCTGACCACACCCTATTACTCGAGATGATCGGAGCTCTCGTATGAACGCGACTACTCCGTGCGGTGAGCGTGCGGCTATTACTTCTTCGTGCGTGCTCTAAATCTTCTCCTTATAACTTACATGAAAAGCTCCGTAATTTCTCTCTAACTCTCATGACTTATGCTTAGAGAATAAATTAAAATGTTGCTGCAAATTTTCCCATCTCATAACATAAATAATGGGAGAACCGAATGGAGGCAAGGAAAATAATTCTTGATCAATGATCATGTCCCATTTGTCATGCTTGGAGGTTTAGGTGTACAAACTATAGCCTTAGTCATCCCAAATATAGATTAGTCACCACTTTAACACTATACTCTTGCCACCTCAAGCTTGGAAAAATGATGACATTTCACATGTCCTTACAAAAAAAGGCTCACGGCATCTTAAGTTGTAAAATGGTGAAATTCACATGAATTTCCTCCAATAATGCTTGGAGAAATGCCTACGGCATTTAGTGGTTGGACACAACTCATAACTAATTAAACATAATCTATATGCTTAATTAATTACTAAATATGATACTTAACATCCAAAATTATTCCGAACATATACGTGACGTCGAAAATAATTTCAGATAATCTCGACTGAAATATCTTAATTCAAAATAATAAATAATTTTGAATTCTTGACTTGGACGATTAATCCGAATATTGATATTTCGAATAATTCGTCAACTTAACTAATTAATTCTGAATTCATTAATTATTGAAACCAATCGGAAATAAATCTGGAAACTTATCCGGTTACTGAAATAATTAACCGTATAATTTATCGACTAATAGTCGAACTTGGAATATAACTGACTGATTAATCTAAACTTGAACATGAACATGATTATTTATTAATAAAGGCAAGCTTAGAACTAAAAGCTAGTATTTTCCTTTATTAATAAAATAAGGGGTGTCACAATCCACTCCCCTTAAAATATTTCCGTCCTCGGAAATATTAAAACTGGAATGTACAAGCTTAACTTAAAGCTCATTCTTACTGATTACATGACTTGAGAATTCAGTACTTTAATACTGAATAATAGACTTGATTTGAACTGAAAATACATCAATTCACAATTAAGTGAATTATTGGATACTGCTGACTGAGAATGAACACTTTTCTGAAATAAAGTGTTCCACTGATAAGACATGATCTTAAAACGTAATTCTGGAGCGTACTGGTCATCATCTCCTGGCTGCCTGCTGATCTCCAGTCTGGACGTTGGTTGTAAAAACTCCAGTCGTTGGTACACACGGAAGATTCCAGAGCTACGCATGTGTACAAATGAGGATAACTAGCTATACTGGTAATTACCTTTCATGAATGTCTGCTCGACAACGCGGCACATCATTCGCGGCACATCGTAATGCGGCACACCTGCTCTTCGTCAATTGAGTGCGGCACGCCTGCATACAGCACCTGGCGAACATTGCACCTGCGTCGTCGACATAATCTGATCGCATCTATACCTCAAGCTAGTAACCTCAATGTACTTTAATTCTAACTCTTTGTAATCTCCTGTGTACTGTGTCTTGGACATGGAATCCTTCCTTTCTTGCATCATACGTCTTTAAATGGGAAATGTCAGTTTGTCATCGTGGCATAATCTGTTGCTGTTGATTGGCATTTCTCTGTTGCGTCGCATATCAACCTGTGGTACCTGCAACTGTTTACTTCTTCCGAGGTTAAACTTAACCTCAAGAAGAAGTCCATCATGAATGAATATCTCCCACGATTTCTCAGATTCTTTAGAGTTTGAGAATCGAGGTGCTGACATACTGAAAATGATAGATAAGTCTTGTCTTATTAGACAGACTATCCTCGATCTTAACATGACTGGCCTGAATATTCATATAACTGAATAACCAGGACTCGACTCTTACATGATTGAATCATCTTTGTCTGAACTCTGACAACTATCCCGAGACAACTAAATAGTCGCTTCGGATTTGAAAACGTGATATTTACTGACATACTTGACTTGGTAAGGTGCGACTTCAAGTTTCCAGGTAAATTTGGACTAATGGTCTGTATGTCAGACCGCAACATTTAACCCGGCTGAACAAATAATCGTCGACCTTACATCATGAACATAGACTGAAAATCATGAATATGAATTTATAACTCTGTACTGTATAGGGCTGCTCCAGTATCAACTGGTCCCGCAAGTACAAAGTAATTAGATGATCTTGATCTTTGAAAATCATAACTTGAGATATCATGTGATATAGGATATTATCTATATAAAGGTAAACTGGTTTAGTGAGCCGGTTGAGGAGACCAAACCGGGGGGAAACCACGCCAAAAGGCGAAAAAGCAAGTGATCGAGCAGCCTGAGGTTCGATCATATAAGAGATCGAGCAACCCGAGGCCCCACCTCACAGGCGATCGAGCAGCTCGAGGCTCGACGATACAAGTGATCGAGCAACCTGATGCCCTACCTGAAGAGAGATCGATCAACCAGATGCTCGACCAGATATATCGAGCTACCTTTCAATCGATTAGATAAGTGATCGAGCAAGCTAATCGACATAAGCCCAGACGCATGTGTTGCAGATGCGCGTGAGAGTCTCTAACTAAGCACCAGGAGAATATTTACCCCATGTGGTGGGTGGACACGTGTCGATAATGTATTGGGTGATAGCGATAACCACCTCTGACAGCTCCCAACGCCCTGCGCCACCTCTGACATGTGCGCGGCGTGTCAGAGTACGGATGGGCAGCTTGGGCAACCAACTCAGCCTTATCCGGGCAGCTATTAGGGCAGGTATCTCACCCCTATATAAAGGGGGTGAGCCTTTCTTCCTTAACACATTCTATTCATTCTCTAAATCCCAGTATACTCATACACATACTGACTTAAGCATCGGAGGCTCTTCACCGGACCCAACCCCCGGTGTGAGAGTTGTTTGCAGGTTTCTGGCATTCTACCGGCGAGGACAAGAACCGATCTACTCCAAACCGGACCCGGACGCTTACACTTGCATTATTGGCGCCGTCTGTGGGGGATACCTTGTTCAAAAAGTTGTGTTTAAAGCTCAGCTATGGCGGACCGGATTCTTAGAAATTTGCAGTCGACATTCGACGACACTTGGTCGACGACCAGGCCGATTGGACAAGGCCCTCCTCCGGGTTTCTCTGGCCCTTCACAAACGCCGGTTACTCCTACCCCGATCCCGCATGGTGTGGGAACGGCTGTCACAAACCTCAGAGGAGATTTTGGTTCCAGTCACGCCCAGGAAGCACGAGCAGCGGCGGCGATGGCGATGCCGCCCCCACCACCTCACAACCCGGTGGTGGTCCAACCCGGAGACGCGGCGATACAAGGTGGAGCTCCACCTCCAGTAGCTGGACAGGCCCCCGGTCAACAAGTGGTGACGATGACCCGAGAGGAGATGCAGAGGATAGCAGCGGCCGCGGCGGCGCAGGCGGTGCAACAAGTCGCGAGTCACATATCCCATGCCACCACTGCGCCGGCCACGACAACGGGAAACCAAGATGAGGATGTGTCCAGTTATGGAGAAGGAGGAGTTGTCAGGGATCGTGCGATGGAGCGAATGGCAGAACAGTTGCGCCAATTGCAGGACAAGGTTGAAGGGAGGCCAGAGAGGAAGGCTCGAGGGCATCCCTTTGCTAGGGAGATCCTCGCCGCTCCCTTGCCGACCAATTTCAAGGAGACCAACTTGATGTATGACGGGTCGTCTGACCCATCGAGGCACGTGAGGACTTTTGAGAATATGGATGTGTTACATGGATACTCTAATTCTGTTTGTTGCAGGGCATTCTTATCGACCTTACGCGGAGGAGCGCTTGACTGGTTCCACCAGTTACCTTCGGGGTCGATTGCGGATTTTGAGGATTTCACCAGCAAACTCACTAACCAATATTCGAGCGCGGTGGCGCAAGAGAAGACTTATTTGACCTTGATGGCGATGAAACAGGGTGAGAAGGAATCGCTGAGGAAGTATGTTGCTCGATACAATCAAACATGTTTGGAGGTGCACTCCGCTTCGGATGAGGTGAAAGCGGGAGGATTGATAAGGATTCTTCGGGCAGGGCCTTGCCGAACTTCTTTGGCAAAGACCCCGGCTCGACCATACGAGGATGTTCTAAAACGATGCAGGAAGTACATTAATCTGGAGGAGATGGAGATGGAGTTTGCAAAGCTCGAGGGGGTGGCTCAACCCAAACCAAAAAGGAGCAGAGTCGGCTGAGAGGGAGATCACCAGGGAGGAGTTCGCCCAAGAGGAACGAGCAGAGAAGGGGCGTCTCCCCGAAGAGGAAGTAGGGATGCGAAAGGGAAGAGAAGAGATGAATGGCAGAGGAGGCCGATGGTGTTCGAGAGGCAGAGGTACCACAACTTTATGCCTAGGAAAGATATGATGGAAGTGCTCGAGGCCATGGAGCAGAAGATGTCGACGGAGGATGTGACTTGGCCAAAGACAAGGTTCGCTTCGGCCCAGGTCAGATTTGTATTGTCGATTTCACAAGGATTACGGCCACACCACGGAGAACTGCCGGCATTTGAGAGATGAGATCGAGAGGTTGATTCGGGCAGGATATCTGAAGGAGTTCGTCTATCATGACAGGGTGAAAGGGAAAGGCAGGAGGAGGTGTAGGGATGATTCCGAGGAAAGAAGTGATAGAGATGGAGAAGGAGATGGTGGGGATGGTCGAGGAAAAAGGTCGAGGAAGGAGGGAGATAGAGAGAGGCAAGGAGGAGAGGCCCCGATGAAGAGGGGAACGATTTACATGATTTCCGAAGGGCCAACAGATGGTGACTCGAATAGGGCCAGGAAGGAGCATGCTCGAGCGGTGAAGAGGAAAAGAGAGGAGGTGGGGATTACAGCCCGCATGCCGGTGATAAGTTTTAAGGCGGAGGATGCCGAGGGAGTGGTCCTGCCGCATAGCGATGCTCTGGTGATAACCGCGGAAGTTGCAGGCTGCGATGTGAAAAGGGTGTTGATTGACATTGGGAGTTCGGTAGATGTGATGTTCTATGACTGTTTTGTGCAGATTAACAAGGAGCTGAATATGGAGCTGAAACCGGTGACCACGACACTTTACGGCTTTAATGGGGGAGAAGTTATGCCGATGGGAGAGGTCAGTTTGCCCGTGGCATTGGGATCAGGAGAATTGAGGAAGGTGCGCATGGTAAGATTCGTGGTTGTAGGGGCTGAGTCGTCCTATAACATCATCATGGGACGAACGAGCTTGAATGCCTTCCAGGCGGTCGTATCCACGTACCACATGACGATCAAATATCCGGTGGGCGAAAACGTAGGGGAGATTGCCGGGGATTAGCTCACTTCGAGAAGTTGCTACCAAACAACGGTCAGCAATAACAAGCAATTGGCAAAGAGGCAGGCCGAGTTGAAGGGAGAAGAAATCAATCGACCAGGAGGATCGAGGTCGAAGGAGGAAAAGCAAAGGGTGGAGAAGGGTAAGGAGAAGATGGACATCCAGCCTGGGGAAGAAGTTGAGGAAATTCAGATGATCGTGGGCTGTGAAGGGAGAAAGTTCAGGATCGGAAAGGATCTGGAGGAACCTATTCGGTCGAGGCTGATCGACTTGGTAAGAGAGTTCGCCGATATTTTTTCCTATACAGCGGAGGAGTTAACGGGAATAAGTGCTGAGGTGATCGAGCATCGGCTGAATATCGACCTCAGCGTGAGGCCGGTGAAGCAGAAGAGAAGGCACCATGGTGCAGAGATGGACAAGATTGTCGAGCAAGAGGTCGAGAAGCTGTTGGGAGCGGGACATATTAAGGAGATTCAACTCCCTGAGTGGCTATCGAACACGGTGATGGTGTCGAAGTCAGAAGCAAAATGGAGGATGTGCATTGATTTTCGCGACCTGAACAAGGCGTGCCCGAAGGACCTATATCCACTGCCCAGAATCGACCAGCTGGTCGACTCCACGGCAGGATGCGAGTTGCTAAGTTTGATGGATGCATCCCAGGGGTATCATCAAATTCCCTTGGCGAGAGAGGACAGGAAGCGGGCGAGTTTCGTGACGAGTCGAGGGACCTACTGCTACGTGGTCATGCCGTTCGGTTTGAAAAATGCGGGTGCCACGTATCAAAGGTTGGTCGACAAAATTTTCAAGGAGCAGCTGGGGAGGAACATGGAGGTGTATGTGGATGACATGTTGGTGAAGAGTAAGGAGGAGTTGGATCACGTTCGAGATTTGAAAGAAATGTTTCTAACATTGCGGAGGTACGGGATGAAGCTGAATCCTGCTAAGTGCTCTTTTGGGGTGAGATCCGGAAAATTCTTGGGTTACTTGGTGACCAAGAGAGGTATTGAAGTCAATCCGGAGAAGGTGCGAGATGTGATGGAGATGAAGTCGCCAACGAATGTTAAAGAAGTGCAGATCTTAGCTGGTCGAATTGTGGGGCTGAGTCGTTTCATATCGAAGGTGGCGGAGAAGAGTGGCCCATTATTCAAAATGCTGAAGAAGAGTGCGAAATTCCAATGGACAGAGGAGGCACAGAGGGCGTTCGAGGAGCTGCGAGGGGTGTTGGCCAACCTTCCATTGTTGGCTAAACCCATACAGGGCGAAGAGTTGGTGCTATACATATCTATGGGGGAGAGAGCTGTGAGTTCGGTGCTGTTGCGAAAAGAAGGAATGGCGCAATTTCCTATCTATTATGTGAGTACAGTGATGCAAGGGGCTGAGACGAGGTACTCGGAGATCGAGAAGTGTGCTTTAGCTGTGGTTGTGACTGCTCGAAAGTTAAGGCCCTATTTCTTGAACCATAAGGTGAAGGTGCGAACGAATATGCCGCTGGGAGAGACACTTGGTCGGCCATCAGTCTCTGGTCGATTGGTGAAATGGGCGGTTGAATTGAGTGAATATTCTTTGATGTATGAGCCAAGGAGAGCCATAAAGGCACAGGTGTTGGCTGATTTTATCCAGGAGGGCATGAAAGTCGAGGAGGAGTTAGAGGGATTATGGCAGTTGTTTGTGGGTGGATCTGTGGCCCGAAGCGGGGCTGGATTGGGAATTGTCCTTGTCTCTCCCAAAGGCGATTACTTGGAAATTGCGGCTAAAGTGGGGTTCAAGATATCCAATAATGAAGCTGATTACGAGGTAGTGATTAAGGGCTTGAGTCTAGCCAAAGCGGGAGGAGCTCGAAAATTGCAAGTGCATTCAGACTCTCAACTGGTGGTTGGGCAGTTTCAAGAAGGGTTTGAAGTGAAAGAGGACCGGATGCAGAAATATGTGGATGAGATGAAGAAGTTAAAGGAAGAGTTCGATTCGTTTGAGTTAATACAGATCCCTCGAGGAGAGAATGGTCGAGCAGACCTATTGTCGAAGATTGCCCAAAGTTTGGTCGATTGTAAGAGCAGAAGTGTCACTCTATTGCATTTGGAGAAAAGCGTGATCGAGACGGAGGTGGCGGAGATCGGAGAAGTAGAGGATTGTAGGGCCCCGATCTTGGAGGAGCTGAGAGAAGGGACGATGAAGGTGGTCAGGAGGTTTTTCAAACATGGGGGTATCCTTTATAAGCGGTCGTACGGAGGACCACATTTGCGCTGTGTCACCAAGGAAGAAGGTCGATATGTGCTGAGGGAGATGCACGAAGGTTGCTGTAGCGATCACAGTAAATCAGGGGCCTTGGTCGCAAGGACCTTAAGAGCAGGATATTTCTGGCCAACAATGAGATAAGATGCGAAGGTGATGGTGAGGAAGTGTTTGCAATGCCAAAAAAATGGTCCCCTGATCCACCAACCCGCCGAGACAATGACAACAATGAGTGCCCCCATACCATTCGCTCAGTGGGGTATCGATCTAGTGGGGCCAATTCCGTAGGGGACGGGGCAGAGGAAGTTCTTGATAGTGGCAGTCGATTACTTCACGAAGTGGGTTGAGGCCGAGCCCCTGGCGAAGATCACAGAAGAAAAAGTAATTAAGTTTTTATATAATAACATTTTCTGCCGTTTTGGTGTACCCAAAGTGTGGATCTCCGATAACGGCACCCAATTCAATGGTAAGCGGATTCGAGCATAGTGTGAAGATATGAAGATCGAACAACATTTTGCCTCTGTAGCTCATCCGCAAGCCAACGGTCAAATCGAGGTAACTAATCGAATTATACTGAATGGGCTGAAGACAAAGTTAGAGAAGGCCTCGGGAGCATGGGTCGACGAGCTGAGCTCTGTACTTTGGGCGTATCGCACAACTCCGAGGTCGACCACAGGAGAAACCCAGTTCAGTTTAGCTTATGGAATGGAAGCATTGTTGCCGGTCGAGATCGAGTTATCCTCCCAGAGGTCGAGCACGTACGATGCTGAACAAAACGAGGATCTGATGATGGTGGCCTTAGATACTATCGAGGAGCTACGTGGGGAAAGCAGCAATCAGGGTGGAAGCATACAAGCAAAGGATGCGAGCTGCTCATGACAAAAGGGTGAAGGTTCGCAGACTCCAAGTAGGTGACTTGGTTTGGAAGCGTGTCGACGTACTCAAACATGTAGGAAATCTGGAGCCAAATTGGGAAGGGCCATACCTGGTCGAGCGAGTGCACGCAGGAGCGTACTCACTTAAGGATGCCGAAGGCCGATCACTTGCCAGGTCATGGAACATAGCTAATCTGAAAAAATATTATGTCTGAAATTTTTCGTTTTCTTTCTTAAGAAGCCTGGGAGCTCGAACAATGATGTAGATTGCAAAGTTTGTTAAAAGTCAATGAAATTCAGTGATTTTTCTGATTTTACCCGCTTTATTACACATTTTCTTATGCTTGGAATGCTGGCACAATTTGGATGACAGGATGTATGTGATATAGTTCGATTTGAAGTTCGCTTGTTTAGAACATTCCTTGGGGTGGGCAGGCTGGTCGAAGACCTCCTGTTTAGAACATTCCTCGGGGTGGGCAAGTGTGAAGACCCAAACCCACCATGACTAAGGCC